AGTTACCTCGTGCGGTCTCGGAGGACTGGTCACCTAGTTGGATTCGTCACTTACTAAGTGGTAAGACTGCTACTTCCATATTTACTAAGTCACAGACCTCTAAAATGACTATTTCAAACCTGTGCTTTTTGCATGAAGCGTTTTTCATAGACATGCACTTAACCACAATTCTGCCAGAGGCTGCAGGGAATACCTTGATTAAGTAGTGCAGGTGAGAGGGCAGGGAGAGAGTGTGTGTCAGTTACCTTTGAATTTTACAGTTAGTTTAACGATAACTCAATTGTACTATGAAAACACGAGGCCCATGGTTAACTAGACTTTCTGCCAGGATATACTTTGCAGTCCATGAAGCTGTGCTGATGGACTTCCTTGTACAGAATTTTAAACACGTATTTCCAGTAGCTTGTACAACCTCATACAAATAAAAAGCTTAATGACTGCTGGCAGCTATCAGTTCAGTTCAGTTGCTCAGCTGTCCAGCTCCTGGTGACCCCATGGACTGCAGCATGCCAGGCTTCCCTGTCATCAACTCCTGGAGCTTGCTCAAACTCATGTCCATCAAGTCGGTGATGCCATCCAACCATCTTATCCTCTGTCGTCCCCTTCTCCTCCTGCCTTCAATCTTGCCCAGCACCAGGGTCTTGTCTAATGAGTCAGTTCTTCACATCAGGTGGCCATGGTACTGGAGCTTCAGCTTCAGCATCAGTCCTTCCAATGAATATTCAGGACTGATTTCCTTTAGGATTGACTGGTTGGATCTCCATGCAGACCAAGGGACTCTTAAGAGTCTTCTCCAACACCACAGTACAAAAGCATTAATTCTTCAGCACTCAGCTTTCTTTATAGTCTAACTCTCACATCCATACATAACTACTGGAAAAACCATAGCTTTGACTAGACAGACATTTGTCAGCAAAGAAATGTCTCTGCTTTTTAATATGCTGTCTAGGTTGGTCATAGCATTTCTTCCAAGCAAGCGTCTTTTAATTTCACGGCTGCAGTTACCATCTGCAGTGATTCTGGAGCTCAAGAAAATAAAGTCTGTCACTGTTTATGGCAGCTATAGGTAAGCAAACAACTTGAGGCAAGATGAATAATCTGTCCTCCCAGTTTCACTAGATTCACTGGAAAGTCAGAAACATCGAAGGTCCTTGTTAAGAACGGCCAGCTCTGTAGCCTAAGAGTACTAACACAAGGAACTTCAGAGTTCTCAGGGGAAGTTTCTTCCTCATGTGAATGCTTCCCTAGGTAGTTTAAGGAGGGGTGACCTAAGGATCCACTGGGAACAGGTGACCCACAACTTCCAACCTGGTATCCTTATGATGCTCACCTGCACGCTGACTAGCATGGCTGTTCTCATACAAATTCAACTGGAAGTCAGGGAATGCGGACAGGTGCTGACACGTGTGAATGTTGGGGAGGGTGGGGTCAAAAAAGGAGAACCACAAAACTATGTAATAATAACAACAATGTAAAATTTGTATATAAAATGTGTATTTAAAACAAAGTCTTAAGTTCCACCATATCTGATGTTGATATTGGAATTTTTCCTGTGTTCCTTTTGTCTGCATTTACTTGGTACCGTTTTATTATTAAGTTCCTTTTATCATTATCTTATAAACAACATATAATTGTACTTTCGTAACCCAGTCTAATGGTCTATCCTTTAATGAGAGAATCCAGCCCATTTTCATGCACTTGATTTTGCTCCCATCTTACTCTGTGTTTATCACTGATTTCACTGTTGTTTCCTCTTCCTTGGATATGCCAGTGTGATCCAGTTGCTAAAAATTCCATACTTCTTGGGCAGGGGTTGCTGCAAGGCTTGAGGGATCTTGGTTCCTTGACCAGGGATTGAACTTTGGGCCCTCAGCAGTGAAGTGTGGAGTCCTAACCACCGGACCACCAAGGAATTCCCACAAACTCCATATTTTATTAATTCAGTTCTTTTTAAAAACAATTTATTTTTGGCTATGCTGGATCTTCGTTGCTATGAGGGCTTTGCTGTAACAAGCTATAGCAGGCAGGGGCTACCCTCCAGCTGTGGTGAGCAGGCTTCTCATGGCGGAGCACGGGCTTCAGTGGTTGCAGCTGCCAGGCTCTACAGCACAGGCTCAGTATTGGTGGCTCATGGGCTGAGCTGCTCTGCTAAGCTCCACATTCCAGGGACTGTGGAATCTTCAGGGACCAGGGATCAAACCAGTGTCTGCTGGGTTTGAACCACAAAACTACGTAATAAGAGTCTAAAATTTATTAGATCATTTTAATAACCTAAGTAGATTTATTTAGATTATTAAATAAATTTAAATTTAATAATAAATTAATGTATTTTATTTAGGCAGGTGGATTCTTTACCACTGAGCCACCAGGAAAGCCCCCAGAAGTTTTCTTAAACTTTTCTATTATTGGTTACTTTCCTTTTCACTGATCTCAAAAGCAGACATAGATTTCTTTACTATTATTTGAAAACAAGGTACCAATTCGTTCAAGAACAAAGTCTCCCATGAGCAGTGCTCTAGTCTGCACATTTCCCACAAAGAAGAAAACTTCAGAATACTTGCACTGCCCACCCACTTCCTTGTCCGCTAGATGAGCCACAAGAATGCATTTATTTCCACTTTGTGCCCTGAAACCTTGAAGATACCTAGGGCAGGGTGTGCTTAGATACCCTAGAATTTAAAGACTGAGGTATTATTGGATGTTATATAATTACATATAAAGATACATATTCTACATTACACACACACACACAAATCTGTATTATGTAAACACACCACTCTCTCTACTACTTTCTCCCTCATCTTAGAGTTCTGTTCTACTTCATTTGTTGAATGGTTAAAGTCCTTATTTAATTATTTTCCTCAGACAGGGCTTCTGGGGAAATACATCTCTGAGTTTTATGTATTAATATAATGCCCAAAGGAATACCTCTTGTGCCCTGAAGGGTGAACAATCACTTGGCTGGTGGGGGACTCTCAGGTTATGATCCTTTTCCATCTGTGATCTCTAATCAGGTGAGACACTGTTATTACTGCTTTACACAGTAGGAAAAGATGCTGGTGCTGGGAAAGATTGAAGGCAAAAGGAGAAGGAAGCGGCAGAGGATGAGAGGGCCAGATGGCATCACCGACTCAATGAACATGAGTTTGAGCAAACTCCGGGAGATGGTGAAGGACAGGGAAGCCTGGTGTGCTGAAGTCCATGGGGTCGCGAAGAGTCAGACACGACTGAGCGACTGAAAAACAACAAATGTGTTTGTGTTCAGCGCACATTCACAGTTTCTTGCTCCTCACTCGTTCTTACCTTTCAGGCCTCCCACTTGGGACTTAGGACTCATTTTGCTTCTGCTTTAAGCACATCCTTCAGAATTTTCCTTTGAGAATCTGCTAGTTACAATTTGTGTCATTTTCATATTTCTGAAAGTCTTGATTTCACCTTCATTTTTGAAAGTATTTATGCTAGGTATAAGGGATCCCAGGGGGCACGGTGGTAAAGAATTTGCCTGCCAATGCAGGAGACACAATCCATTCTAGTTATTCTTGCCTAGGAAAGCCCATGCACAGAGGAGCCTGGCAAGCTATAGTCCATAGGGTCGCAAACAGTCAGATATGACTGAGCAACTGAACCGAGCAACTGAGCACATTCTAGATACAAAACTCTAGGAAGGCAGTTATTTTCTTTTATCACATTGAAAACACTATTTCACTGTTTCCTAACATCAACCTACTGCTGCCACGAAGCCAGCTATTAGTCTGCTGTTCTAATTTTTTTCCCTCTAAGTTTAATATTGTCTCTTTGTTTTTTTGCTATGATATGTCCTCTTTTTATTTATTCTACTTTGGAATTTTGGAATCTGTGGATTATAGACTTCCATCAGTTCTGGAAAATTCTCTTCAAATATAACGCCCCATTCTCTCTCCTATTCTTCCGGAACTCCAGTTATACAGATGCTAAACCATCTGCTCTATCCTCCACTTTTCTAAACTTCTCTAACTTATTTTCTGTTTTTGGATCTTTGTGCCACATGCTGGATAATTTCTTCTGACCTACTAAGTTTAAAATTTTTCAGTTATTATATGTGTATTTCTCAAAATCCAATTATGTTCTGTTTAAAATTTGCTACATCACTTTTTATAGCTTCCTATTCCTTGAAGATATTTCCAAGCTTGTCCTATCTTTGTCTCTTTACATATAATAAGCATAATCATTTCACGATTTTATCTGACAATTGTAATTTCTGAGGACTGTGAGGGCGTGCTCCCGCTGCCTCTCTCCCCTGCTAGTTCCCACTTGGAATGCTGTGCTTCCTTGTGGACGAGTTAATGCTGACTGAGGGCTGCCTGCTGCCCTTGAATGATTATTTGCAGAGACTCTCCGAAGCTGAAGAAGAAGGAATTTCCCTCTGGGAGGATGCGTATTTGCTTCTTCCAGATTCTTGGGAGTGCTACCAGCCAGAATCAAGGGGTGAGGCTTCTCCATGACCTCACTGCTATTTGGGCTACAAGTCTGCCCAATGATCAGCCTTATGTGAGCTCTCCACCATGATTCCCAAGGCTCACTAGCAACTAGCTGACCAAAGCCTGCATAAGCTTTTTGGCTTAAGGGAAACCAAGAGATTAGAGCCAGGGGTAGAAAGAAATGGAGTCATGTTGGGTAGGTCTTACTTCCAGAATCCTTGAATTGGTTTTAAAGTTGCATGTATGTCTGTAAGCTTTATGACAACACATCCTATGGTACAACTTTTAACTAATGAGTAAGCCATTAAAGGAGATTTTTTTATGTTTAGATGCATTTAGCAGGCATAGTTTTAAGCAACTGAGAAAGCAAAGTATTGTGGATTATCAGATTACCAGATTATAAAATTAAATCAAACTATAACACAGCACAAGGATGAGTTTTCTTTTTCAAATTAATTCAAAACTATTGCCGGGCTCTAAAGCTGAGATAAAATAATTTGACATGCTGAATTGTACTTGAGTAACAAAGAAGTGAGTACATACCCTTGTGAAGCCAGCAGCAATGAGGGACATTACACATGACTCTTCTCTGTCTACCCTTTAAAAGAACAAGTAAACGGTTAGACAGTTTTTTCTAATCAGTTACATCTCACATCTTTATTTACTAATTTATATAATACTATCATTGGCATATAATGAATACTTTTAGATGAATTAGATTAACATACAAATCAAATGTACAAAGTTAAAACAATTTTCTGTATTAGTTTCACACTGGCTTTTTGACAATAGATACAAATGCTTGAAATATAGAGATTACACTAAGAGCCAGAACACAGGAGTGAGCATGTAGCTATGTGATATGTATAAATTTTAAACTGAATTATTTTTATTCTTTTCTTACCTCCCATTTTAAAATGAAATATAAGGTTCCCCCAATTATGTATAATGTAAATTCTCATAGATATTTGGAGTTAGAAGTCCCTAAGAAATATATCCGGAAAACATTCATACTTCAGGAATGGCATTCTCCCTTGGTTGGCCCTTTTCTAAAGCGAAAGACAGTCCAAAATCACAAAACCTAGTGTTAAAGTACAAACTCCAGCTCTGAATTTAACTGCCAAAATGAAAGAAAATAAGAAAGAGGAAAAGGCCAAACTAGAAAGGGTGATGCCTGTCACAGGCCACAAGCTGTTATTCAGGCCTCTGTTAAGAACACACATTACACTGACATCTGAACTTCAACACTTAAAAAAGAAAAATATCTTACCTGCGTACTACACCAATAATAACTGTGTTTTCTGAGAGTTTTGATGATCTGATAGACCTTTAAAAAAAAGTTTTAAAATAAATTTAAAGCAATTCTTTAAAAACTAAACACACCTAAACCTAAATTTTGGTAGGACAGTTAAAGTTGGGGGAGAGCGAAAGACCCCTCCACACTCTGGAGAAACCTTCTTGGCTAACCTGACCTTTCTTTCTTCAGGGGACAAACTGCTAACCAGTGGCCCGTGGTGACCCTCACAATTACGGAGCATGAAGACAGCAGCCAGCTCTGATGACATGCCTTCTACTTGTTCTTATTCTGGTCTGAGCTGTTTCAGGTGGAGAGTCTTCCGTGCCTGGGGAATCTCCCTTACATGAGAAGGGCCACTAGTCTCTTCCTATCAAAGGAAGATGCAGGTCTACATGAATCACAGCCAGCGGATGGCGACCATTACAGTGGGGGTGAGGCAGCCCGAGGGCCAGCTCTCCACTGCATTCTAAGCAGTGCAGAGAAGGGCTCCCAAGCAGGATGCAGGCAAAACAGTAACAATATTTAAAACTCAGAAATGCAAAATATTCTTATCCATCAGAAAGAGGAGAATCAAACCCGACAGGAAAAATTAAGGACAGAAGACTGACGAAGAAAAGTAGAAGACACTGCTCTACTGAAGTTACCCAAGGAGTATGAGGCCGCCCTTGGATGGCAAGGAGATCAAACCAGTCACTCCTGAAGGAAATGGACTCTGAATATTCACTGGAAGGACTGATGATGAAGCTGAAGTTCCAATGCTTTGGCCACCTGATGTGAAGAGCCAACTCACTGGTAAGGACCTTGATGCTGGGAAAGATTAAGGGCAGGAGGAGAAAAGGATGACAGAAGATGAAGTGGTTGCATGGTATCACTGATGCAATGGACATGAGTTTGAGTAAACTCTGGGAGATAGTGAAGGACAGGGAAGCCTGGCTGTTCATGGGGAAGACTGTGCTACAGTCCACGGTGTTGCAAAGAGTTGGACAAGAATTAACAACTAAACAACAACGAGGCTGCCAAAGGGACTGAATTTAACCCTTCTGGAGAAGCAGCTAGCAAGGAAGCCATGGGGAATGAAAATTCAGCCAAGAGATGAGAGAGGGCAGAGATAAACATGATGGAGAAGAACAGAAGCAATATAAACTGCCCGCTGAGATGCGCAATGGCTCTGACCCACCCTACACTGCAGGAAAGAAAAGGACTCTCTGGAGAAGAAGAGCCAGGCCACAGGAAGGGGGAGGAACTTGGCCCCTGGCCTGGAAGGAAGAGATGCACATAAGAGGGTAACTGCAGATGGAAAGGTATGCAGAGGGCTGGATTTGGACTCCCCCTGTCAAGACAGAAGCAAGCTGGCCCTTGGAGGATGTGTCCACGATGGGACAGAGAAGAGTCAAGACTCACCGCCTGACTTCAGTTCTGCTGGTTCAAGAATCACTTGTGAAAAAAAAAAAAAAAAAGAATCACTTGTGTCACTTCTGAATCACAGAATACAGAAAATGACTGGCGTGACTATTTCTCCACTGTCCCGAGGATGACACATAACATAACCATTCCAGATGTGTAAGGGAAAAGTCAAGTCATCATATGCAAAGGATGCCTCAGTTTGGGCAAAATTTTTTTGCAGAGGGCCAGACAGTAAGTATTTTAGGCTTTTTATGTCATATGGACTCTGTCACAAGTACTTAATCCTGCCCCTGAAGCATGAGAGCAGGCACACACAATACATAAATGAATGGGCTTGCCTGTGTTCCCCTGTGCCTACCCCTGCCTCAGGGTATTGAGGCTAAGTTTTCTTCTGGAGCTCAGGAGGAGCAAGGCTTAGAATCCAAACAGTATATGCAGAGTAGCTCTGGGGTTGGGAAGCTGCTCAGGGATGGAGACACTTCTCCATCTCCAGGAAACAGCCAGTCTCTCTCATGGGCCACACGGCTCATAACACATACACACACTCTGTCAACACTTTTGCTTTTCCCAGTGTCCATTCTAGTCCTATAGCTTCCATTTCTGCCTAGTATCTCCAGAGGGAACCAACTTAAAGGGCGCTCCTTGCATGGCTCTATCAGGGAGGTCACTGGAGGGCCTGCTGACCAGGCCCCAGTCCCATCGTGGTTGCCTGCCTGGAACAGAGCCAAGTTTACCTTCCTGGAGCAGGAGCCATGGAAAGGGCTGTGTGAGCTCAGAAGCATAAATGGCATGGCAGACACTCACATAGACGGGTCCCAGCCACTTTTCAAACCTGCTGGCTGATACTCACCCCAGCACTAACCTTAAACAGGGAATGAAAGATGTGGACTCACAAATAGTAGTTCCATGGTTTCATAGGACATTTCTAGTTGTTCATCTGTTTATATTTCTATCATATCATGAAGATTTAGAGGGAGAAATGGCAACTTTGAAGTATGCCACCAGCCACCTCAAACCAGCTCATCTTTTTACAGGAGAAACAGAGATCTGAGTGGTAACAGAGCAGGGAGGCAACCACACAGATGACCTCAGTAAGCAGGTTGGGACACAGGGATAAGGGACATGGGGCTGAGGACAAAGTGCAAGGAAAGACTGTTTCCCAGAGACAAGCCCATCCCTCCAAAGGAGGTCTAAAACTGTACGAAAAGGCAGGGGTGGTGTCCACTCTCACCACTATTATTCAACATAGTTTTGGAAGTCCTAGCTACAGCAATCAGAGAAGAAAAAGAAATAAAAGGAATCCAGATTGGAAAAGAAGTAAAGCTCTCATTGTTTGCAGATGATGTGATATTATACATAGAAAGCCCTGAAGATACTATCAGAAAACTACTAGAGCTAATCAGTAAATTTAGCAAAGTTGCAGGATACAAAATCAATACACAGAAATCACTTGCATTCCTATATACTAACAATGAAAAATCAGAAAGAGAAGTTAAGGTATCAATCCCATTCACCAATGCAACAAAAAGAATAAAATATCTAGGAACAAACCTACCTAAGGAAACAAAAGAACTATATACAGAAAATTATCAGACACTAATGAAAGAAATCAAAGATGACATAAACAGATGGAGAGATACTCCATGTTCCTGGGTAGGAAGAATCAATATTGTGAAAATGACTATACTGCCAAATGCAATCTACAGATTCAATGCAATCCCTATTAAATTACCAATTTCATTTTTCACAGAACTAGAACAAAAAATTTCACAATTCATATGGAAACACAAAAGACCCTGAATAGCCAAAGCTGTTTTGAGAAAGAAGCATGGAGCTGGAGGAATCAACCTTCCTGATTTCAGATTATACTACAAAGCTACAGTCATCAAGACAGTATGGTACTGGCACAAAACAGAAATACAGACCAATGGAACAAGATAGAAAGCCCAGAAATAAACCCACACACTTACAGGTACCTTATTTTTGACAAAGGAGGCAAGAATATACAATGGAGCAAAGATAGTGTCTTCAATAAGTGGTGCTGGGAAAACTGGACAGCTACAGGTAAAAGAATAAAATTAGAACACTTTCTAACACCATACACAAAGATAAACTCAAAATGGATTAAAGACCTAAATGTAAGAAACTATAAAACTCATAGAGGAAAACATAGGCAGAACACTCGATGACATAAATCAAAGCAAGATCCTCTATGACCCACCTCCTGAAAGACTGAAAGCTGCTCAGTTGTGTCTGACTCTTTGTGACCCCACAGACTATACAATCCATGGAATTCCCCAGGCCAGAATACTGGAGTGAGTAGCCTTTCCCTCTAGGGTATCTTCCCAAACCAGGGATCAAACCCAGGTCTCCCGTATCACAGGCAGATTCTTTACCAGCTGAGCCACAAGGCAAGCCCAAGAATACTGGAGTGTGTGTAGCCTATTCCTTCTCTAGGAGATCTTCCCAACCCAGGAATCAAACCAGGGTCTCCTGCACTTCAGGTAGATTCTTTACCCCAGCTCCTAGAGTAATGGAAATAAAAACAAAACAAGTGGGACCCAGTTAAACTTAAAAGCTTTTGCATAGAAAAAGAAATGACAAACAAGATGAAAAGACTCCTCCCAGAATGGGAGAAAACAATAGCAAATGAAAAGATTGACAAAGGATTAATTTCCAAAATATACAAGAAGCTCATACAACTCAATACCAGAAAAAAAAAAAAAAAAACAATCAAAAACTGGGAAAAAGACCTAAACAGACATTTCTTCAAAGACATACAGGTGGCTAAGAAACACAGGAAAAGATGCTCAACATTGCTCATTATCAGTGAGATGCACATCAAAACTACAATGAGGTATCACCTCAAACTGGTCAGAATGGCCATCATCAAAAAGTCTACAAACAATAAATGCTGGAAAGTGTGTGGAGAAAAGGAAACCCTCTTGCACAGTTGGTGGGAATATAAATTGATACAGCTACTATGCAAGACGGTATGGAGATTCCTTAAAAAACTGGGAATAAAACCACCATATGACCCAGCAATCCCACTCCTAGGCACATACTCTGAGGAAACCAAAATTGAAAAAGACACATGTACCCCAATGTTCACGGCAGCACTATTTACAATAGCTAGAACATGGAAGCAACCTTGATATCCATCAACAGACGAATGGATAAAAAACATAAATACAATGGAATATTACTCAGCCATAAAAAGGAACACAATTGAGTCAATTCTAATGAGGTGGATGAACCTAGAGACTACTATGTAGACTGAAGTCAGTCAGAAAGAGAAAGAGAAACACTGTATACTAACACATATACATGCAATCTAGAAAGATGGTACTGATGAATTTATTTGCAAGGCAGCAGTAGAGAAACAGAGAACACTTATGGACATGGGGAGAGGGAAGAGAGGATGAGATGTATGGAGAGAGTAATATGAAGACTTACACTACCATATGTAAAATAGATAGCCAATGGGAATTTGCTGTATGTCTCAGAGAACTCAAACTGGGGCTCTGTATCAACTGAGAGAGGTGGGATAGGGAGGGAGATGGGAGGGAGGTTCAAGAGGGAGGGGACATATGTATACCTATAGCTGACTCATGTTGGTGTTTGAC